TATATATATATATATATATATATATATATATATATATATATACAGGTAGACATGTAGGTAGACAGGCAGGTAGACATGCAGGTAGACATGCAGGTAGACAGGCAGGTAGACATGGAGGTAGACAGGCAGGTAGACATGCAGGTAGACATGCAGGTAGACATGCAGGTAGACAGGCAGGTAGACATGTAGGTAGACAGGTAGGTAGACAGGTAGGTAGACATGCAGGTAGACAGGTAGGTAGACATGCAGGTAGACAGGCAGGTAGACATGTAGGTAGACATGCAGGTAGACAGGTAGGTAGACATGCAGGTAGACATGCAGGTAGACAGGCAGGTAGACATGCAGGTAGACATGCAGGTAGACAGGCAGGTAGCCTGGCCAATCAGATTGGACGGTTACAGTCGGTGGACGTTTTTTTTGTCAGAGCATTTGATTTATTGATTGCTGTGGGGATTATTTGAGAATTTCAACAAATATAACAAAAACATTTTTTGAAGAACAATAGCAACCCCAACTGTAAGTGAAACTGGCAATGCCACAGGGTACGAGTAAAGGTCTTGCATTCAAAATCTCAAGTCCAACCAACTTGTGAGGTAGCTAATGTTGGAGTAAAAGGTGTAAGGTATAGCATGAAATGAAAATACTCAAATAAAGCACAAGTACCTAAAAATTGTACTTAACAGTACTTTCCACCACCATGATGTCTTAAAATATGTCTGAAAATACATTTAAAAAATCTAAACATTACACCCTCTTCATCTGTTATAGCCTACCCAGGCAGTATACTTTAATTCCCCTTTTCTCAAATTCAGTTTTTTTCTGCCACGCTATCTGCATACATTAATGTGTCCAGAATGATCAGAGTAATCTGGCCCATCAACCCTGATGCAGCCCCCGCAGTGATGTGTGCATGCAGGTCCTAGCCGCAGAGCAGAAACAGCGAGCAGAGACAGGCGGTCTGCTGTGTGGCGTAGGCAGGCAGAGGGGGATTGGAGAGGCATTTCTGCCAAGAGGATTAGGAACCAGCTGCTGGATGGACGCAGACGAGTAGCACCCATTGCCCATCAGAGCTCTGCAGCCAGAGAAACCCTCGTCTTACCGTTTCATTTTTTTCTTCTGCATTCGTAACCACCATTCATCTCCCCCCCCCCCCTATCTCTCTCTCTTCCTCTGTGATATTTCCTTAATGCATGTCTGTAGTTGTCATAGGGATTTGTCCCTGTCTGTCACAGCATGCTCTACTCTAATAATCCATTTTAGGGTTTTAGGGAAATCTTTTTTTCTTCTCATTCTTTCTCTGTTCGGCTTCCTAAAAGACAAGTATAAGGAGGCCGCACTCCTTAAAAGTGACTCCAGAGAAGAGCGGATGTACGCCTTCTTAGGAAGTGAGAAGCATCAAGACAAAACAAAGAAAAGGCCGAAGTATCGTCCATTATTGTCCCCACCCTAAAACCATACATTTATAAGCACAATCATTTCTTTCTCAATTAAAGCAACAGATACTGATTTTAATTATTAATTTATCTGCAGATTACTTTCTCATTTAATTGATACAATCTTTAAGTAATAGTTTTAAATCGACAGTGGAAATAGTGAACAGTGACTAGTATAATTTCTCATAGATCAAGATTTAAGTTGCTGGTTTTTTTTCAACCAACAGCCCCAAACTCAAAGATATTAAGTTTAACATCGCAACATATAGAACTGACAGATCTAAGCATTTAATCATTTTGTCAATAAAAAATAGCGATTATAATTTCCCACAGTCCAAGGTGACGTCTTGAGATATCTGGTTTTGGTCAGCCAACAGTCCAAAGTCCAAAGATATTCAGTTTACTATCACGGACAACAAAGAAAAGAAACAAATCCTCTCATTCCACAAGCAGGTTTGGCTTTTTTGCTTAATAAGTTTGTAAAATGATCATTTAATTATGAAAATAGCTACATATTTAATGTCTGTGGATCGATTAATCAACGTTAAATACATCAAAATAAGGACAATTTGATTTGACTATAAAATCTCAGCATTATACTTTGTATAATGTTGCTGCCATGTGATGGATGTTCTCTTCTTCTTTTTTTTACTGTCGTGAACTTATCAGGTCGCGAAGAGAGACCAGAATGGATGGAGTTGGAGGTGAAAAACCTGGAAAGTGAGTTTTTTCAAAATCTTTAATTTCAACAGTATCAAAGTTCTTTTGATTCTTTGGCGAATTAATTTGGACTTTTTTGTTTGACAGCCCAATTTACAAACGAAGTCCAGACATGACAAAATCTCTGGTGACAAAATCTGAGCAGCTCCTGAGAATTGACGACCATGATTTCACCATGAGGCCAGCGTTTGGAGGTCAGACAATGAATCTTACTTCAGTGCTTTTAAATGAAAGGGTTTTATTTGTAGCTCAAAGTGTTCAGTGCATGCTGTAGAGAGGCTGCATGCTCAGGAAGAGATCTGTGCAGCGTTCACTGGTTCGGGCCACACGGTCCCATGAGCATTAAGCTCTTGGAGATCTTTAATGACGCAATCAATGCAAGCACAGCTTGCATTGATTGCAGTTGCAGCTCAGTTCTTTACATCACGCAAGTGTTAAATTCACGACTTTTGCATCATCATCACTGTGTATTACAGGGATTCGATGTCAGAAAGATTGTCGTTTTTTATTGCAATGAAGTATACATTAATAATCCTTTTAGCTGTCTTTATCTTTTTATTCCTCATTAAAAAACACGAGAGCTGTATTTAAGTACAAAACGAATCAGCCATGACACGTGCTGTTTTTATCAGACCACGACTTCTTTTAATCACACGATAATCTGCTGCTGAAAACACACCAAGTGACCCACAGAATCCTTTAGCTGTGTTTGATTTCCAACATCAAGTGTGTCTCAGCTGGAAGTGGAAAAGAGAGCTCAATTTCATCCGTCGCTGCATCATCTTTGATCCATTATTGTGACCTAATTGTATTTTTGTACTATTAGTGGATGATGATACAGAGCAGAAAGGATGAAATAGGTCAAAAGTAGAATCCGAGCCTGACCGACACAGTCGTGGCGCAAGCAGCTGCTCTATATTTGTGTGAGTCATTGTTCTTTTTGGAAACATGATTTTTCAAAACAAAAGATTCAAATGGTCTCTGTTAGCCAGCTCCAAAATCAGGCAGAGCTCAACAAGCTCCTTAGCAGAGACAAAACACATTTTTTTTATACATTTCTGACATGAGTCCATTTTCATTTAGGTCCTCCAATTCCTGTTGGAGTGGATGTTCAGGTTGAAAGTCTGGACACCATCTCCGAGGTGGATATGGTAAGTATCAAATAGCCTGTTGGTATAATTTTTAGAATGATGCAGTACAGATTACAATGTAAAACACCGTACTTTTATTTCACTTCATTCATTTGACAGAGTTACTAAGATGTGTAAGATTTTACTTTTCCTACATATGATAATAAAACACAATGGAAGCTATCTGTTTGGCTTGTGAATCAAAAAACATTGTCTAGTTGTGGCACAGTTATTTGTCACATTTCAGACAATTCCACTGAATGTCTCCGATGGTATCAAATCATCCAATATTGCACAAAAACAGAAAGATTAGAGAAAAGTCTAAAAAATGGACACAAATGTGTATATAAGAACTGTATTTTGTATTCTTTCCCCCATCATTAATCATCTCACAACCCCACAGATTCAACTTGAGCCCCTTCGGAGGGGCTTGACCCATAACCTAAATAACATAACTGTATATAAAGTAGATAAACTAGGTCCCCGTCACATCCACTACTTTTACTTTCAAACTTATGATGATAATACTGCACTTTCATCGAAGTAAGATTTTAAATGCAGGTAAATCGTGCGAGTAAAAACTTGTAATGGAGTATTGTACATTGTTGTATTGGTACTTTTACTTAAGTAAAGCATTTGAGCACCAGCTTCTTTTCTTCCCATAGGACTTTACCATGACACTGTACCTGCGTCACTACTGGAAGGATGAGCGGCTGTCGTTCCCAAGCACCAACAACCAGAGCATGACCTTTGACAGTCGCCTGGCGAAGAAGATTTGGGTTCCTGACATGTTCTTCGTCCACTCCAAGCGCTCTTTTATCCACGACACCACCACCGATAACGTCATGCTGAGGGTTTACCCTGACGGCAACGTCCTCTACAGCCTCAGGTAAACACATGGACAGGAGCCTTAGCCAAGGAGGACTAAGTCATACAAGGAGATCTACATCCTTCCACAAGCAGTTTGCATATCTATAAAAAAATAATTTTAAGATCAAGATATTGGTCATTCATCACTAAAATAGAAAACGGTGGTGAAGGTAAATGTTTATTTTCATGTAGTGCAAAAAAGAGAGAAAAACATCAGGATAAAAACAACAACATACCACATAGAATGATCAAATAGCATGCTAATTAGAAATGCAAAAGGTCATCACTGATTGGCTTTGATAATTTTCCCAGCAGGTGATGCATTTTGTGGAATAATAACATTTGTGTCATTTGATAATTTACAATCAGTGTAGCAAACAAATGTGTCAAGTTATCAGAGGAGAATGACAAATGTGTGACTTTTGTCAATTCACTGCAGGGACTTCTTAACTGCTATTTAATCAGGCAATATATATATATATATGAACATGTTATATACAAAGAAAGTGTGGAGGCTACGTGATGGGTGGAATTGGGGGGAAAGGGGGGGGGGGAAACATCACTGCTAGAATAGAATAGCATACAAAATACAATACAATACATGCAATAAAAAACAATTCTTCTATTTCTTTTGTTTTGGGTCGACTAACATAGCAGCCAATATCCAGACATTTGTAAATTTACCATTGATGTTACTTGAGGAAGTTGAATTACAGTGTTTTCCTTTGGGTCACTGCTGTTTTCCCTGCAGAATCACTGTCACCGCCATGTGCAACATGGACCTCAGTCGCTTCCCTCTGGACACTCAAACCTGCTCGCTGGAGATCGAGAGCTGTGAGTAGAAATGGAAAAAATGATTCATGTTTCCCAGAGTATGGATTCCATCCTCTTTGACCTCGCCTCTAGCGCCATCAAAGTGACAAATATTTCACTTATATAGGCTACTGAGTTCATACACACCTTTTTACCGTTTCCATTTTGTGGATACTATATGAGCTTTTCTATTGCCCTCTCTCCTTGTTGCCAAAATGTCAAGATTGCGCACCAGATATCTCATGAAATCTATCATGCCCTAATATGTCAATAACTATTCCCGTCAGTGGTGCTTTGGAATTGTAGTCTTGTTAAATCGTCACACATTTTGTTCACATTAACATCCAACAATGTTTATACTAAATCCGTCCTGATTTCTTTCCCCTTCAGATGCATACACAGACGACGACCTGATGTTGTACTGGAAGAAAGGCAACGAATCCCTGAACACGGACGAAAGAATATCCCTGTCCCAGTTCCTCATTCAGAAATTTCACACCACCACCAAGCTGGCTTTCTACAGCAGCACAGGTACTGTAACCCACAACACAAGCACTTCATATACAGTAAACTGAACTGATTATGCAAATGAGCCAAATGTGTGCATCATGCATGGAAAATCTAGATCACAATTTAATTACAACTTCAATGAATATGATTTTATTTGATAAGCCTTTTCCAACTAAAGGATCGAGTCCTTTGAACATCACACCAAGAAGAATGTACTAATATTTAATCCTTACAGCGAGACAAAGTGAATCAAACTATTGCCAACCACTTGTAAGCTGCTGGAAAGCCACTGTGACCGCCCTGCAGCCTTCTTATAACCACATGTCACTTTCTAGCTCCCAAGAGCAACCTCAAGCACAAAAAGGATTTTGTGTCTTATCTCTCCCTGCCACAATAGCTGGGAACCTCGGCTTCGAGTGTTTGTACAGTGTATCGGCAGCTAACATATGACAAAGTAATGGTGATATTTCTTCTTCCCCAGGCTGGTACAATCGTTTGTACATCCACTTCACCCTGCGGCGCCACATCTTCTTCTTCCTGCTGCAGACCTACTTCCCTGCTACTCTGATGGTCATGCTGTCCTGGGTGTCCTTCTGGATTGACCGCAGGGCCGTCCCTGCCAGGGTGCCACTAGGTAGGACAGTTTCCTTTACAGGGCACGGCCCTAGCAAAGAAATCTAGCTTTGCAAAAAGATTATTTAGTACGAGAATTAAAAACTTAAACCGGGTAACATAGTGCAGTGGTTCCCAACCTCTTAGTGAACCCAAATTTTGGAAAAGTCTCTACACTGTTTTCTTGCCGAGAGTTAGATGAGAAGATTAACACCACTCTCCTGGGAATCGTTCATGGGTTCCCGACCTGCAGGTTGTTGTGTATCGAGTAAGTCATTCAATAAGTCGGTCATTTAATATAATTTTATGTTGCAGCTAAGACTGAGCAGTGACCTTCCCGATGAAGTGGGAGAGCAATTACAAAACGTTCCTACAGTGATAAATTAGTGGATCAGATTAAAAAACAAAACAAGTACACAAATAAGAAAATTATTACAGCAGTACAAAATGAAACAATATTAAATTTCCCCTTTCTATGATGTTTAGCATTGGGTTTTAGCTTAACTAGCATGACTAAACTGTTTGTGTTGTTCACTCCAGGCATCACCACAGTGCTGACCATGTCCACCATCATTACCGGGGTCAACGCCTCCATGCCGCGGGTCTCCTACATCAAGGCAGTGGACATTTACCTCTGGGTCAGTTTTGTCTTCGTCTTCCTGTCGGTGATAGAGTATGCGGCAGTCAACTACCTCTCCACCGTACAGGAGAGGAAAGAGAGGAAACTGAGGGAGAGAGTAAGTGTTATTTAATGTGACTTCTCTTTGTGGTTGCTCATCGCCTGCAGCTAAAAACACAGTTAACCTCGGAAATGTTGATTTACAACATTTGAATAACAGTAAAAATGGCTTTATTCTTACTGAGTGATGAAATCACATTCCCACTCATTCTCTTACTTATTTAGTTTTGCAATAAAAATAAGCAAGCAAACGTTGTGATGTTTTCATGAATTATTAATTACGACCGTTTGACTGTGAAACAAACATCTTGTTTAATGCTGTTTCCCCCC